TGCAAAACCGTTGTAAAAAGGCATTAGAAGAGCTCTGTAGTTGAGGTTATTGGACACAACTACCCCAGGCTCCCCCCTCCCACCTCTTGGGTACATGTCATTGTGATGGATGTCACTTTCGATAGTGACAGCAACAGCAAAACATCCGTACTACATATGAATACATTAACTTTTGTATTGGTTTAATTTACTGCATTACGAGTTTCCATCATTGAGCAGCTGAAGACAAAATTCTCTTCCTTGGGATGTCGATAACCATGCGTACACTCTACAGGAAGAAATATTTCTTTAACTATCTATTATATCTTAAATAATTCTGTTCACTTTTCTCTTGTCAGGGAAACACAGCCCAGGAGAGAGGAGTAAGCAATTCATATTGCTAACATACATCATGAGCTGGATTTGCCATTGCTCAGTATCTGGTGAAGTCGTTCACAGCTGCTTTTCTGGCCACACATACAAAAGATGAGTTTGCTGCATGGAAGGGGACAGAATGGACTGGCCATTAGCCACTGTTTTTTTCTTTTTAAAATGACACATGCATAAATATGTTATTGAAGGTAACATTGTCACCCAGTTGCCAAAAGAAAAAAAGGAAAAAAACGGATTCTCCAGCAGAGAATCTGCCAGCAGTCCTACGCTGATGCACAGTGTGATTTGGTAATAGGAAGGTTCCTGCCTCCCAAGGCTGAATTGATGGTGTACCTGCTGCATGTTACAGCCAGCTGCACTTTAGATACTGTGAATTAGAAACAGACCACGTCAAGCCCCGGCATGTTTTTAGCTGTCCTCCATTTCAGAAACTAGGAGACTGCTGAAGGAACAACCTGCTTGGCTGTTCCCGTGCCGTAAGCAGAAACTATGGCAGCATCACGGCCGCAAGTGCTGGGCTCTGCGAGGAAGCAGGGAGGGTGCTGGTTGCTGGCTGAGCCTCCAGCTCCAGCCACAGCAGAGCTGGGTCAGCTCTCACCCACCTCCACGCACCTCTGTGTCCCTGGAAAGTCACTGCTTCCACTAGACTGCCCAAAAAGCGACGGCCTCCGGCACAGCACCATGATTGTACAGGGACAAGTGTGATGAGGACATAAGGGGCTGCATCAAGAAAAATACCTGCTTCAGGATAAACTTGTTTTGAGATGGTGCAGAGCTATAATACAGACGAATCTACAACCAAGAGCAAAAGCATCCCTGGAGAATCTACTTCAAAACTGCATGAAAGAGAACTTGATATCACAGTGATCTCCGAAACAGGGTGGGCATCGTGGGGCTGAGCTACATCAAGTTTTAATGCTATCTAAAGATCACAAAAAGAGATTTTACTTCTTTCTGCAAGTCAGACCATCCACGTAGCACAAGGCAAGCATCACCGTTTCAGTGGGTTCCTGCTTTCACACCATGGCTCCCAGTGTCTCTTAGCCCAGAGCCCACATCTGTAACAGAGGTGGCACCCAACAGCTCCCTTCACCTGCTTCATCCCTTGGGGGCGAGGGCACTGATCGAGGTGCCTCTGCTCACATTCAGCTTGGTGAAATCAGTCAGCTCACTTGCCTTCAGAAGGCAGCCCTCCCCACCAGCCCTTCCACTACAAACACAAAAAGCCTGAACGGGCTTGCGTGTAGCACGAGGAACAGGCACTGGGAAATGCAATCAGTTCCCCCAAGCTGCACTTTCAAATTGCGAATTACAGATCAGCTTCGATGTTAAGAAAGGAGTAAACCACCTCGGTTTGTTTCCAAAACAAAATAATGCAGTGTGTCATTACTGAACGCCATCCCACCCAAATGGAATTCAGTGCTTCATTCAAGCCCAAACATTTTTCTTCAATGTATTCAGCTGATTAACTGAGGATTCAACTGTTTATGCCTTACTATGTGCTTGGTTTGGGGTTGTTTTTTTTCCTCCCCCCCCTTAACAGTAATTGCATTTGACCGAAGTGATTCACCTACACACATAAAAGACTTTAGCTGGCACCTCAGAAGAGAAACAAGGCAAAAAGAAGGACTGTCTCCTTCCCTCACCTCCAAGCCAGATTAGCTCACTCCTGCTGAAGAGTGGCCTGGATTCATGTCCAATGTCCCAGCCACTCTACAGGCCTGGAAAACAACTTTGTGTGTGTGCCTCTCTAAGAGCCGGAGGCCTGATCCTCCTGGTTTCACTGCTGTTACTCACCCTGGCTCTGTGGTACTGGACCTACAACATCAATGTACCTGCCATCTGTCTGCCTTCCGCTGTTTCTTTCACAGTGGTTAGGGCTGCTGAGGAAATATTTACTTTGCATTTGAGAAAAGGTCGTTGACAGGTGGTGTAAACCACTCTTCCTCCAAGACAACAGAAATGAGAGTCAGATCCTAGAAGAGAAAAATCAGTCTGGAGTCTTTCGTCCTCCCCTGCTTCCTCCAACATCCCATTCAGACAGCATGAAAGGGTTGAGTGGCTCCGAGCTCAAAGAAAGAAGGCCGTATTTCACCTCCCTCACAGAGAATACCTCTGTTGGTGCCTTGTTTGGCTCTCAGCAGGAAGCAGGGCTCGCCCTAAACAGAACTGAAGAACAAAACAGGAAGATTCATATCCTGTAGCATCACAGGGCTGGCAGGAGCAGTTCCCCATCTTTTCCTAGGACAGCCAAGGTGGCACAATGCAAGCACATGAGCTGGAGCAGGGGTCAGTTGCACTTTCCAGACCTCGCCTTTGAAATACCCTTTGTTAGGTGTGCTTGTACACAGCTGAAGCGGTGGTGACACAAGAGGACATCAGCTGCATCACAGCACTGTAGCACAGCAGAGGATGCAGGATATGAAACTAGTTTGGCAGCGTAACACTTGGCCAAAGGAAGCAATGCACTTTCCTGTGCACAACGCAGTGTTCTGTGTTGATTTTAAGTTCACTTTTTACCAGTAACTCTGTGGTTCCTATGTGGTTTCATGTACACAAAGTACACAAGGGCATAAGCACTCTCATTTCGATGAAAACAATCTCCTGCTCAGAGCTGTGCATGGAACAATAAAGTTAATAAGCTGCACAGTTACAGTCCCACAGCACCCATCTGTCTGCACACCGTATCCCCTAGTACTGTGACCAGCCACAGGGAAAATCCGTATCCTGCAACTGCCACTTCACCTAAGTGACATCAAGCCTGATCAAAGCCCATTAAACAAAACAGGAGCCTGGCTCTTGGGCTGCTTTGGGCCGTGCCACAGCAGCACGCGAATTGTTTCACCATTTCTTTGCTTGCACAGGGATATATCTGTCCATTCAGAGCAGCAACAGCTGTTTCGCATGGAACAGGGGCTGGAAAGAGCAAACACATCGAGGAAGATCGTGACTGAAAGAATATATGCTCAGGGAACGGAACGGGAGGAAAAGTGGAATTTTAACGAGGGTGAGGAATGCTGGTATACAGATCCCTATCTGGCTCTAAGCGTCTTAGCCCCAGTGCTGTAACAACACAGCTGCAGCACCACGGCTTCAGCGCGTGCAGTTCTTCCTGCCCTACATCCTAAGGATGAGGTTTCACCAGACGATTGATTCAAAGAAAGAACTCGTTTCATTTCACCTCCCTGCAGCATCGCCTCACTCCTCCCTTGGGCTGGCTGCAATGCTGTCCCGCTACCCTGAGGAACTGATTCATCTAAAAAAAAAGACAGCAATAAATAACCCACTATGGAAAGAAATAGCTGCAGTTTCTGGCAAAGTCAATTCACAGCCAGGTAGGTGAGTACCCAAGCACCTGGCTTTTTGCAAGTTAAAGGCAAGTTCTTGCAGAAAGGACCAAACTTCTCTCACTCACCTCCAGAGTCACCTATCTCTGTGCTGCCCAGAGGGTTTAGTGCACACACACTTGAGGAAGGGACACAAAAGATAATGACAGTCTGCTGAGGAAACCATCACATACGGGCTTCAAACATGAACAAAAAGCAAATTTTGGCTGGGTCAGGACTTCTTACTACTTAGGTGCCTTCACGTTCACCAAACGTGACATTTCAAGCACATCATATTCCCTGCTCAGTGCTCCAGGCAGCCTCTCCTCCCAGGCTCACAGTTACCAGTGGTTATTCCTTTCTACGGAGCATTTACCAGCAACTCAGAAAGGCTGCAGCAGCAGGTTGTGAGGGTCTCCCAAGGTTTTGCTGGCAGCCAGCTCCCTCGTACCCAAGAAGGATGAAGAGCAGGCTGGCGCGCTGTGAGCTCCCACTGCCATTGCAATGATTTGTTGCAAGTTAGAGCCCCCAAAGAAAGCTTTCCCTGCACAACAAGAGCACAGGCAGGACAGGAAAGCAAGTACTTGGCCCTTGCTTTGCTCCAGTTCCCTAATCCAGCACAAATGCATTTGGGGATTTATGGGTTTTTTGGAAGCTGCCAGCGAAGCTCAGGGCCTATTCCTTGGGTTATTGTTTTCCCATCTGTTTCTCTTCATTTTATTCCATCACGGAGGCCCCATTGTGGGACACAAGAATGTGACCGGAACAATAGGCAGAACTTGCTGCCTCCAGGACTGCAGTGAGGGCAGAGCCACCACTGCAGGACGGGAGCCAGCGGCTTCTATATTTAGCACTTTCTTGCTTATTCCAGATCACATTCGCACCCTACACTCGGGAAGTCAGGAGGCTTTCACCACACCACTGTCCCCGAGCGCCGTGCATCCAGCAGGGCCCCTGAACATAAAACATTCATTTCCCTTCTAATAATGCCAACAGGAAGACTTCCTGCTCCCCCCTCCTTTCCAAATCCCTATTTTGACAGACTTTTTTTTTCTGTATATAAGCAAACTAAACAAAACCATCCTCTCCTCAAGGCTGAGGCCTTGGAGCAGCACCAGAACTGAAGAGCTTGGACAGCGCAGCACCACCAGCAGGAGCAAGGCTCTGCAAAGAGGTGGAAATGGTGCAGCCAATGTATCTGAACCTGAGCTAAACACCCTGACCCACGGAGATGCTCCCCAAGCCCACACCACAATACCTGAGGGCAGGGAAGGCGAAGGAGAACCGGGTCTGAGCACCCACCTGGACTGCTTTCACCGCAGTGGCACATCACACTTCACTCATTTCTATCAAAGCAAGGGGATCCTGCAGAGCAAGAATAAAACCACATCATTTTTCCAGAAACATTTGCCTAGGAGTTTTGCCCCCCTGAAAAGGATTCAAAAAACATAACAAGACCTCGTTCTGCTCCTTCCACAAGGTTTGTGGATTAGGACTGCCCTGCATTAAGTCCTCTTCTGAAGGGAGTCCCCTTTCAGAGCATGGCTGGTGGGGAGAACACGATGCTTCTTGGCACAACAGCCACAGAGGGGAAGCTTTCCCTTCCCACTGCCTGCAAGAAGACAGAACACTGGTGTGCACACGCAGGACCTCTGGCTGGTCCACAGGCTTTACACAGTCACCCGACCTTCCTTTTTGACCATCTCTTCCTTCAGTAGAGAAGAAAGTATCCGAAACTCAGATTTAGAGTAAGGAACAAGAGGACACCCCGGCTTTCAGTGCCTACACCTGGGACAACTTCTCTGTTCTCACTCAGAGCCCCTTGCTCGCAGCAGATTCTGAAGAGCTCCAAGGAGGGAGACTCTATATCTTCTGTGGGCAGCCCATGCCAGCGCTTGCCTATTCCAGTCCCTTCTTTTCAGTTTGTATTTTAGCCAGGATTGGCATAAACAAAGAGCTGAATTGTGTGTTTCTAGGGAAAACAGGAATTTTAGCATCTCGGAAGCTAGCCCATAACACCTGCAAAGTTGGGCATGACCATCTGCAATGAGTTAAATACTGAGGAGTCCCAAATCTTCACTGATTTTACCCTTTGTGCCCACCCTGGGACAGACCAGCCTTGGCAAAACCTTACAGGCAAGCAGCACCTTACAGGCAGCAGCCTGCAATGGCCAGAAGCTGCCTACTTCCACCAAGGGGGGAAGAGTCAATCCTCCTCCAAAGCATTTCTTAAATATCAGTTCTGCCAAAGGCTACTGGAATGTGTCTTCCCCCTGTAAGTCAGCAGGACCTAGCAATGCCCAGGCACAGATGGAGAAATGACACCTTCCAATGGTACCACAAACCACGTCACTGATTTGCTCTGTGACCTCCAGCTGGGTTAACTTCTCCTCACAGAGGTCCTGCTCCGAGGTAGGGAGTCTGCAAAGAAGGGAAAAAGAAAGGCCTTGAGGCAGCAGCTACTTACCGAAGGCAGAGGAGAGAAGTGGGCTGGAGTTTCCAGTGGAAGAAGCTGACAGAGAAGCAGCAGCAGCACTCAGGGCCTTACTTGGCCAGCAAAGCTCTGAATAAAATAAACACGCTGCTCCACCTTGCAGCCAAACCCATCCCTCACATTTTCCCCTTACCTCCCAGATGTGCCTCCCAGGAGAAATAGGATCAAGCTCATACTGTTTGGAAGCCTTGTCTTCCACTGTCTTTGAGTTGAAATCACCTCAAAAATGGCAGTCTTCAGGCTCAGGGCCACAGCAACAACATGGAGCAGTGAAGGATGCTGCCCTGGTGTCCGTACAGGCAGGACCACACGCCACTGAAGGACTTCCCAGGACATCAGGTCAAAGCACCGACAGCACAGATAGCGCCATTTCATAACCAATCCTCACCATAAATGATAAAACTCTCGCCACCAAGTCACTCAGCTTCTCAAATCTCTCATTCTGCTCCTATACTGAAGGCTGTTCCATGTCCTAGCACCACAGTAAATGGGAAACACCTGATTTCAACCCTCGATGCTCACTGGTCTTATGCCACTTTCACCTTTTAGTTTTCAGAGCTCTTCTTCTCTCCTAGCCATTCAGAAGAAAAGGGATTTAAAAAAAATGTGCTCTCCTGGAAGTCACATACCTCAGTATACCTACAGAGATGCCTTTTCAGGGAGAGATACTAAAGCCATGACCTGTTTTGTACCCCTACGGGTAGGGTCTGTGCCCTCCACGCCCCAGGCACTAGCCCCAAGGAAATCACCTCCCTCCTTCCAACAGGGTGCAAGGCACAGGATGATAAAGGGCAGCATGCCAGGGGGAAGGAGGCAGAAAGGGGCTTAACAGAGCCCTGCGGAGCACAGACACGGAATAACAAGCAGACTTCTAACACCAGAACCTTCGGCTGAGTAAGGATTATAACTTTGCAGATAAGTGCAATCAATGCGTACGCACAAACATTTGCGGTCAGCAGTGCGATTTCATCCCCAGCTGAAGATCCGCCGGGTGCATGCGTTCAGATGTGCGCAGCACCATTCCTGCACAACTCGAAACCATTTCCCATAAAGCCACACAGGCTCTGTTGGGCAGGGGCCAAGCAGCTAAACAAAAAAACATCTATCCAGAGCGAGAGCTCTTCAGAGACAGTTCAGCATCTGGAGAGAGGAGGGGGTCTTGCTCCAAGAACGCCTGGAGAGCCCGACCTACCACGGCTCGCACTGCCCCGCGCAGCTCGGCGTGCCGGGAGCCAGCGCTGCAGCCCAGGCAGGGGCATCGGCCAGAGCCCATGGGCAGCAGCTGGCCGGGCAGCCTTTGCTTTTTAGAGAAGCCAGACTTTGTTTTTTGTTGGTTACAAACAAAAGGCATCGCTGTTAGCATGGGCTTCTTCGTTTCCTTTTATTCTATCTCCACCCATGTCATGTAAATAAAGCTGCAGGCAGCTTCCTTCAAAGCACCAGGCCCGTGAAGACTGCGTTCAGTTTCAGGAGGGAGCACAGGCATGGCCAAGGTGAAGGCACTGACTCCTTCCACCATGCTCCAGGAGACCGAAGCTCCCAGCAAAAGGGAGTGAGCGCTTTGAGCAAAAAAAGATCACGGTGCCCTGCTCTTATTCCGGGCTCTATAGCTGGGAAAAAAGAGCAGCCAGTTTTGTCACCAAGTGCCCTGGATGTCATCTGACCGTGACAGGGAAGGAGAGAGAAATGCTTTCCTCCAGAACACAAAGATGGAATTGGTTGAAGTGGCTCCAATCAATTGTGCTGCAGCATCCGAGATGGTATTTTGATCCCAGTCCTACGAGACAGCACAAGGCCAGGCAAAGGCAGATTACGTGATCTCTCAAAGCTGCCTTTCACTACAGCACAAAACGTCCTCTGTGTTATTAGAGGACTTTTTGGGGCTGAATGAAATAACACTCTAAAGCTCTTGATTCCTACCTCAGGGCAGCACAGCATCATTCCAGCCCATCCTTCTCCAGGGATGAGATTAAATATCAGAGATGAATCAAAATGCAGTCTATCAGGCGAGGCAATCTGCCAAAGTAGCAAAAAGGAGACGTGGAGAGATGAGAAGGGTACCTGGGTACTGGAGTGACCTGTTTAAACGCTGCCGATAGATGCTGAGCTGCTGGCTCTCTCCCAGGCTCTGAGGGATGGAGGAAGGGAATATAGAAACGGGAAGCTTCCTCCAACCTTGGAAGATGGGGACAAACACACATCACTTCTCGAGCACCAGCTGTGCTCTCAGACAGGGGCAGTCAGCTGGAAGAGCTGAGGACTGCGCAAGGCTATAGTCCAGCCTGGATCTGAGAACTGGGCCTGGCAATGATCTGGGGAGAAGAAGGTCCAAGTTGGTGTGCTATCTCAGGAACTGAGGAAAACGCACCCCTCTCAACCCAAAAGGGACTTCAGGAAGTCCCAGCCCATGAGACCGGATTTCTCTCTCAGAGCAGAGGTGCAAGGATCAGGCCTCCAGCCCCTGGGCCTCGATGGGTGCCTGCACACCACACGTTTCCACTTTGAAACAGCAGGAACACAGCCGGAGCCAGATCCCTTGGCCACAAAACCACCCGCTGTTGAGGTTGGAAGCACGAGAGGCCATTTTAGTGCTGTCAGAGTCCAGCTTCAGACAGAGCTCCACTGTGCCACGGTGCCCTGCTCAGGCACCGAGCAGGCCTCACTCTCCCAACAGCAGCTGCCTGCACCAGGCACTCGTGTGACCCACGAGATACAGCATCCGTGCTCTGGCAAGGAACTGCCAACACTCAGAGGGCCGGCTGACTTCAGAAAGCACTGCAGGGCCTTTTTTTGGCATGCCTGAAACCCAAACCACCTCAGAACTTGCTTGGCACCAGCTGCAGCTTCTCAGCACGTGGCAGCAGGTAACCCGCAGCAGGAGGGGAGATGGGGAGGCGAAGCAGAGTGGCACCAGAAACTGTGCCGGAAGGATAGAGAAACCACACCAAGAACTGGAGAAGCGAGCTGTGGGTCTTAGGGGTGTCTACGCACACACGCAGTTTCTTGGACTGTTTATCAGGTTCAGGAAGGAAGAGGGATCGGTCTGCCAGAGAGATCACAGATGCTGGGGCTGTCATATGATGCTCCCTGTAAGAAACAAAACCCACAGAGCGTACACACAGATAAGAGAGGAAGATACAAAGAAAGCCTCAAAAACAGCAGAGGACATCCTAACCCCACCCCAGAGGTGCTACCTTTAGCTAAGCCCAACCCTGGGGGCAATTCTCTGCACTCCCCTGGCCCCCTGCCCCTCCAGCAGTGGAACCGAACAAATTCTTTCTCAGCCTGGCTATGTGAAGGGCCAGGGAGCCCTGCCCGGTCCCAATCCTCTCCCAAGGATGCTCAGCTCCCTTTGGGTAAAATACCTCCTCGTGCAAGTACCCAGACTTGCCAAATACCCCTTCCGCACTCCTAGGAGCTTTGACTTCAGGCAGTACAAAACTTAGCAGAGCCAGCAAGGCAGCCATCAGCTACGGATCCAGCTAGAAACAGAGGAAGGCCTGGCCAGCGTAATGGTTTTACCCTGGCTCAGGCAAGAGAGCTCATCTCTTACCCTGGCAGTAAAACCCTACACAAACTCTGTTTACAGCCACCGCTGGAAGAAGGAAGAAACCCTCCTCCAGTTGCTAGGAGGATGTCAGGGCATGGCTGAGGCTTCCAGGCCTCCGAAAGCAGGGACACCCACGGCGGGGACCAGAGCAGGGACTCTCATCACAGGAGCCATACAGCATCAGATGCTCTCTTGCTCTTGGTTTTTAACTGCTTGCACATGAAGCCCAGATGGTTTTCAGAGTGAGGGAGAAGGGTGTGTTGCTTACACAAGCAGTGCCATATTTCAGTAAATATCATATGCCATCCAGACATTTTGGAGCTGATCCAATTTCCGTTAGGCTCTGCTCAACTGGGGACCTGGCTCCTCCAGCAGACAGCAAACTCCATTTGTGCTCAGAGCATGTCCAAAACAGAGCCGTGTCTCAGGCAGACACATTTGGACCAGATGATCCTGGTTACACCTGGCATGAGGACAGGATTTCCAACGTGCAGCCATCCAGCCTCTGCTTCCAGGCTCCGCGCAGGCAGGAACAGTTCACTCTTCCTCGCGTACGTATCGTTCCAAGGACAGACCTATCCTTGGCACAAAAATCCAAACACTTTTAAAAGGTGGTCTCCCCAGTGCTGGCAACTGCTTGCTGCACAGGATGGAGCTCACTAGGACTGTCTCCGGGACCAAACCGTGCTGAATAATAGTGCACACCTGACAAACCACCCCTGGAGAGCACAGCTCCACCTTCCGAGTCCTCTAGCACAGCAGAACAGGAGGCTCGGCAGTCACACAAGCTGTGAGGAGTTCGGCTGATGCCAGCAGGAGATGCAAATCACAGAACGGTTTGGGTTGGCAGGGACCCCAAAGCCCACCCCTTCCACCCCGGGCAGGAACACCTCTGCCCCAGCCCGGGCAGGTCCCAAACAGCCCAAAAAAAGACACCGAGTGGCTGAAACACGGGGGCTGTTGTGTCTGCATAGCCCTAGCCAGGGGTCTTGCACCACCTCTGGCCCACAGCCAGCACCACAGGCTCCAGGGCAGCTCTCGCATCCCGGGATGCACATTTTTAGTGAGAGAACTAGCAGAAACACAAGGAAAGGACTCCAGGAAACAGTGATAACAGGCAGGGATGGCAAAGATTTGTTTCTCCTCAGTGATATTTTGACAGCGAGAGACAGTCCCCGTCTCCGCAGCCCAGCTCCCTCTGCGGAGCACAGAGGGAGGACCAGGCTCAGAGGTCTGAGCTAGGAGGCCTCGGCTCTGCCTCGAGTGCCCTTGGGCTCCCTGGAAGTTGCTGGAAGTCACTTCTCTCTATATCACTTTGCTCCCCTCTTCCACTGCCTGGCTCCTCACTCGTGTCCCCACTGCCAAACACGAGGCTCAGGTGCACAGCCTCTGTCTCGTAGGCTTCAGGACCTTACACTGGCCGAGACAAACAAGAGCTCTGAACATTTCTTGCAGGCTTGCTCTTTAGCCAAACTGACTTTTTCAGGGTACAGCATCCAAATATATGAGGGAGACCCTTAACCTACCACAGGGAAAATGTGACAGGGAAACAGCAGCAGAAGGGGAAATCAACAAAAAGAGTGGGAATCATTTTCCCCCCCAAAAAACAAGCTATGCTTTCTCTGAGCAGACCTTCAGTGCTTACAGAAAGCATGGCCTATCTTCCAGGCAGTTTTACTCACACCCTTCCCTTCAAAATCCAGCAAAAGCCTTGCAGGCTCAGCAAACGGAGTGTAGATGTCTGTTTCCCTGGCAAAGATCAGGAGCTGAAAGCCAGGCTCCCCTCCTACAGCCCAGCTGCACGGGACACACCACCAGTGGATGACTTTGGTTCACACCAAACCAGAGACCCAAACCCTTTTCTGGCGCTTCTTTTGGCCACAGAAGCCAAAAATGAATATTTCCACGAAACGGGATGGTGTGGGTTTAACCCAAAAACCAGCGAGCACTTTTCATTCCACTCGAGCAGTGTCTTTAGCGGGGGGTTGCCAGCGCTAACATCCCGGTCCTGGCACAAGCTGGAGTGCCTGCACCGCCACTTCCTCCTCGCGTGCATCTACTGGGCCAAACCAGGAGGTTGGTGCTGATAAAGCCCCAGAAAGTGCCTGCTGAGCCTGTTCCTGCCTTTGTAAGGCACTAACCTCGAGTCTGCCAGGGCCTTCTCTATCTCACATTTCCTCCTCTGTGACTCTCTGCCCCACTGCTGCATGGCCTTCCCCTACTCAGCCCCCCCAGGCTTCCCCTGCCTTCACCCTAGTGCTGCAGCCAAGCTCGCAAACCAGAGCCTACACCTCGGTCAGACTACAGCCCCAGAGGACGGCTGCTCTCTGGTAGCAAAGGAGGTTATTTTAAAAAACTGAAGCGGCCATCAAATACACAAGCTCCAGGCAGGTAGGCTCAGCCCGCGAGCGCAGGAAGCCACAAGCCCCGTTTTTAGTTACCGCACCGCAGAGACTACATAACCACCCCTACCTCAAGGAGGAACAACCCAAAAAAAAAAAAAAAAGTCTCTTAAATCAGACCAGTTGGTCACATATTCCTAAAAGACTTGGACAAGTTGTAATCTTGAGCATTGTGGCACGCACATCAGCACGCTGCGGGGCAGCTCTCTGGTTACTTCCAGGGCTTTCTCAGCACCCTGGGAGCTGGTGCTGGCGCTGCTTGGGCACTTTGCTCAGTCCTTTTGTGAGCTCTGCATGTCTGCGTACATGTCTCCCACGTTTACTTGTTCATGCTGTCTATCTTGGTATGCTACAGCAATTTCCCAGTCTAATCACATGCCTTGTTGCATTACCACACCAGTGATAGCTGGTTGAACCACACACCACATCCTTGCAATTACTTCTATTACTCACAATTGACTTATTTATTAAATTTCAGCTTGCTGGGCTTTGCCAGAAGATGAGCAAGATCCCCGTCACCCCTCCTTGCTGTTGATCAGTGTGGCCAAGGGCAGGTGAGTAGGCTGCGAGGTTGAGCTGTGAAACAGTTTTGCAAGCGCTTGCTTTCTCCGGCAGCCGAGCTCCTTGCATCAAAACACCAGGACTTGAGCCCCGGGAAGTAAACTCCTGAATTGCAAGAAAAATCAAAAGGGAAAGTAGATGCAAATGAAGCCTAAATTAATCTGTGATTTTAAAGCACACAAACAAACATTTCCCAAGGCTTGCTTGCAGCGTGATGCCAGCTGCAGTTCCTGCATGCGGGCGTCCCTCTGCACCCACCCTCACTTGCAGATCTGATGAACAGCAATCCCTAACAAGAGAAGCCAAGTGCCTCTAGAGCAAGTAACTGCTGCTTGTGGGGGATTTCCTAGGCTTGGAACAAACGGCCTGACGGTTCCTGGCTGCTTCAGAGGCCCAACCCACCATCTTGTGCCTCACAAACACTCCTCTGACAAAAGACTTTGACTCCTTGCTTTCAAAGGGGAACAAACAGAAGGCAAGTTCAGACAAGGCTCGTGGCTGCTTGCCCAGCCAGGCCTCAGCTAGTCCTTCATAGTAAATATTTGTTCTTAATTACAGTGCCGTTTGCCCCAGGAGCTTGCCCACAATCTGGAGGAGGGAGGGGGATTATGTTGTTGATAGGTAAATAATAGCTCTTTCATCCAGAGCACCCAGAGCATTTTCCAAAGATGAAAGCCTCCTGAATACTTGCCCCATGGCTGAGGGTGAAGGTTTAAAATCTTTGCCCCACTCTGGGGCACGCTAGGAACTCCAGGACTAGGGCCCCATGCAGCAGGGACACACAGGAGCAGCAGCACGGAGCCGCTCTGCCAGCACCCGCTCCTTGTCCCACCAAGGCATCGATGCCAAGTGGCTGAAGTTTCAGGGAGTAAATCTGTGGTGGAGCCAGGAAAAAACTCCTTCCTCCTGGCCTGAAGGCCCACTTCTGCCCAGAAGACAGCCCTGCTGTGCTTCTTCGTGTCCAGATCCTGCAGGAGAGCCCCCGAGGACCTGCAGCATCTCCAGGAGAAGAGCAGGCCACATGAAGCAACCCCACAGCAACGCGTGGGAAGCGGCCAGTCCCCACTATCCCAAAAAGCTGACAAGGTCGAGTTTTGATCTCCCTGCACTTGGCTTCCAAAACATCAAAACTACAAATATTTATCAGCAAGACGGCTGACCTCTGCTCTGTGTGAGCAAAGGGTGAGAAGTGGCAGGAAAGCCCCCAGTTGCCTCCCAACAACACACGCACCCCCCTTCTCCCCGTGTCACCGCAAAGGCACCCAGCATCCCAGCCCCAGAACACATTACCCATTTCTTCCATAAGGAAAATAAAAAAATAAACCAGCCCAAGCAATCAAACCCAGCATCTATCCATGCCACGGGTCCTACATTCCTCGCCGCTGTGTGCAGCCAAGCCCAGTGCAGGCGGGCTGTTAGCACCCGACAGGAGCCTCCAAAGAGCAGGCCCTGAGCTTTCAGGGGAAAGCCAGAGGCGCAGAAGCCCAACACTGCAATATTTAAAAACCCAAGAGAAACTGCACTCCTTTCCTCCCACAGTCAGCCTATGGCTCACCAGAGGCTTGTTCAAGCCCTAGCTGGGCTGGAGCAGCTACAGAGATGCTGCTGCACTTGTAACACAAACCCTCCAGCACCATCTCTGCTGCTCTCCCCCGTGTCTTATCATTTCCAAGCACGTTTGCTGAGCTTGGTTTTCTTCCTCTTTTCCAAATGCCACTGAGCCTCTTATTTTTTTTAACCTCTGCTTAAAAAAACAAAACAAAACTCTTTCCCACCAGCTGTAATGGACTGGCCTGAAATCTGTTGCCAGCATACAAAAAATATATATTTTTACAGTTCCTTTCTAGCAACATTAATTCATCTTTCTCTGCTCTAATACTTGCATCATTTGGCATTTTTCTCCTCTTAACCAAGGCCTTTGAGTTCCTGGACAGAGATTTAATTAAGCCTCTGGAAATCCCCAGCCCAATATCCCCTACGAACACCCTCACAGGGAGCTGGAGTTCCGCAGCCTGACCCGTATCTGCAATCAGCAGTAGTGCAAGCAGCGTGAGAGAGAGAAAGCTTTGCTGCATACATCCTCCCCTCTGCTGAATTACCCCTCAGTTCGGGGACTGCCAGGTCCCAGCCCTGCTTTTTCACACAGACCCCGGCTCAGGAGCAGTTGAGGTAAATGTTTTGTTGGATGATGTTTAGTGACCGGTTGTGCTGGGGCTACAGGACCAGAAATGTAACTGGTGTCAAGTCTCGCCTCTGGTACGTGGCTAAGTCCTGCCTTCCTGAACCTCTTTATTACATCCCTCGGATGTTTACTTTGCTTCCTGCCACTGAATTTGTCAGCCAGGCTTCCTTGCCATTATGGTAGTCATAAGGTACATGGTTAGGGATGTGTTTTACAGTGTGCCTAAACAGGCAGCTAATCTTATAAACCTCTGTGTATCGCCAGCCTATGTAGGTTAACACTCGTAAAGAAACACAGAACATTTAGGAGCAGAAGTCAACAAGGAGGGAAGTTCTGAACAGCCACTTTCATAACAACCTTTTGATTATTCCTGACTGAAGTCAAGCCCCTAACACAGCAGTCGGCCTCGAGCCCCAGACCTCGCCTACATCCTCCACCTGTCAGAGGAAAAAGTACCTTAAAACCAAAAGCATCATCGGGTTTCTGCTGCTCACACAGAGTCACACTCTTCTGAGCAGCCCTGAGCCTCCCTAACCCCGATCAGCAGCTTACAGCCTTGTCAAAGATGGAAGAACGTGGTTTTGGGGTCAGTGTGTCCTTCTCCTTTTGAAAGCACTGGGTGGTGAGGGGCGGAAGCAGCAGGCACCACAAGCAAGTTTATACACAAAAGGTTGAAACCGAAAGAAAAAGCCTTCCAAGAAAAACAAATGACTTCCAGATTAATGCTTTTTCCTGTCCTGATACAGGACAAACAATCTTAAAGTGCAAGCAAGGAGCTGTTTCTCCTAACTCTGTTCTCTCACAGCTGCTAAGCACTTCTGGGGAAGCAGGGAGTGGGGTTGTAAAGGCTCTCGCAAAGCCTGGCAGCCTGAAAAAGAGCAGCAATAGCTGAAAAGCCCTGGAAGGGCAGCAACAGCAACCAGCGACTTCTTGAATGAACTCGCCTTGAGACCAAAGCAAAAAGCCCTGGCTCTTGATCCTTGCAATCCCCCAAAATAATAAGAGGAAGGATGCACGTACATCTAAGGCAATTTATTCAAAGTTGAGGTGCGCACCCCCTTACCTTTGGCAAGGCACATCATAAATATTCACTAGGGAATGGAGCAGGGCAGGGGAGGCTAGGAGACACTACACACGGTGTGAGTCACAGCAAGCCATCGCAGAGGATTCATTAACTGGATTCAGGTGATCCTATTAGCTTCGCAATTGCTTCACATCAGGCTGTAGAGTAATTAGGGCTGCAATTCAGACGGATTTACCAGAACATTTTTTTTTTATTAAAGCACAGTTGTTAATCAGCCTGACTAAAGTCTTCAGAACTATTAGCCTGCTGCACAGGAGTCATAATTACTTCATCCACTTGGGAAGAAGGGCATCAAAGAAACCACCTGGGATTGTCTACAAGCTTAGAGGAGCAAAGAAAACCCATGGAATTCAGCGGGGCATCTCCCTTTACCATCACCACAGGCTTTTGATCAGGTTTCCAAGCAGAGCAGGCAGAAACATCAGGCCTACATAGGAAGGATCTGCCATCGGAAAGTACAGCCAGGCACCACCCAGATGTATTTATTAGTTGACTCAGAGTTACTGCCTAAGTCCTAATTGCTGCCTAAAAGTTTAGTGGTCCACCTGAACTACACGATCTCTATCTGCTGAGGATGTTTGGCCGCCCTGCAGCACCTCAGCAAGGCAGAGCCCACGTTTCCCCTCGGGAAGGTGGCTGCAGGCAGCAAAAGGGTAACTTCTGCTAACAGAGCAGGGGAGCACCACTGACCCCAAACTCCCAGAGCTTGTCCAGCCCTGGGAACAGAGCACAGCAGCTCCAGTCCCCAACCTCGCTGCCACCAGGTGACCAACGTTAACCAAGACATTTTGTCAGCAGTCTAAAGGGAAGTTCAGAAAGGAGAACACGAGAAAAGAACAACTAGAAATACACACGTCCACCCAGGCTGTGGGGACACAGAAATAACATCAGGGCAGTAACAAGCAGCCAGCCATCACCGCTGGCACTGGAAGGGAAGAGATCTGCTGGTAATTCCCAGGCACCTTCAGAAGAAATATCTGGAGTTTTCACTCTCTGGAGAGCAGCAGCTGATGCATTTTGTTTTGCCCAGGATCTCCAAATAGCTGATTTGCTGCTAAACTGCCTTGCCTAAGCTTGGTCCTGTGGAAAGTGTGTGATGAACCTCCAGCAGGGTCTTTCTTTGAAACCCTGTTCAAACGCACTGCAGAGAAGACAGAAGGGAGATCCAGGCCAGTGCAGGAACACAATTCTGAAAACACACACTTGGTTTTAATATACAGGTGAAATGAAAGAGTTCAATACCTTTCTGTTCCAAGTGGAGAGGATAGGGGAGATTTTGCCAGCTGCCCCTCCTTGAGCATATGTGTCCTACAGGGAAGGGATTCACTCCAGCCAGAACTTGGGTTCATTTTCCCAATCTTGTGGGCTTTCCTGAGATGGTGAGCTGGGAAAAAGATGCCAGCCACTCACAGCCAACACACCAAGACGGTTTGGGTGATGTCCTGAAGTGAGTCCCATCGTTCTTTCATTCCAGAGATGTCAGGGGAGCGTGTACAGTGTCCAAACCTAGCATGGGTTTTACATTGTTAGCCTCCTACAGCATCTAGCACAGGGCTAATGATCTAATGTAAATAATTAAACATAAAATCATGGTCAGCAGTTGACAGAAGAAGAGAGTTGGCTAGAACAGCTCACGGTGACAGCTTGTTCTTCCCTTGCCCTAATCCAAGCTGCAGAGGCAAGAAGTGCTGTCTTACCAGGCCATGCCCCTCTGCATCTCAGCACAGAAGACAAGGACCCTCCCGAAATCCCTGCCCAACCAACTCACCTGCAAACTGTCTGACCTGAGGGGATAACTGCCTGGCTCTGACCTGCTGGCATCCCTACAGAAGCAGGTAAGACAAAGAAAAAAGGCATTCCAACAGCTTCCGAAGTCTTTTCCAAATAAAGCAGTAATAATAAACACAGATATGATCTTCCTAAGCCATCGATACTGACATTAACTAAACATTTTGCTCGTTTACAACTGGACAGTAGACCTAGTAGAAGTTGGGCCAAGTGCTGAAGGGATTTAGCTCCTTTCTCCGTTCACATATTAGCCGTGAGCAGTCTCCATCTATGGTGACTGTACTCATTATGCTCAGTTGTACAGTATGTATTGAAGCTGATAAATAATTCCCAAGTGATTCCTTCTTGTCACCAAATCACACGGTGACTTCCAAGTCCAAGGTCACCTAAATTGCCTACTGAATTTGTATTCCAAGTGGAGACATCCTTACGGGAATTGGTTTTCTAGGCACTGCTTATGGGATATCTCAGTATTTGTTAGGGGAGGAGAACTTCCTCAGTCACTTAAGATCTAGGCCACATTTCTCTTTAATTTTAAATCTGAAAGTAAAGTCATGCAAAGAGTTTCCAAATTACAGACTCACATTCCACAAACACTGCTGAGAATAAACTACCGACGTTCCCATGGAACTCCTGAGAAGTCCTGGACGCACAGCCAGCAGCTCTGTGTGCTGTGTCCCTTTGAAACCTTTTCAACCCCCTTCCCCTCCCAAGGCTTCATTGAGCTTCACTGGACAGACACCCAAAAGTTAAACACTTCCTGTTCTAGTACACCACACCAACTGATACTTGATTCACAGATCCTCCAGGCCTAGAGGGCTTCCTGTTCTTAAGGAACAATGCCTCCAAAATGAAGCATTTTTTGTGTTTTCTTGTTTACACTTCCATTTTTTGCAGTCATCGTTTGCTTTTTTTTTTCTTGCAAAGCAAGAAACGGTTTCAATTAACAAAATACAGATTCCTGTACATATTCCTACGGGGCAGAGGAAGAACACAAAATTGCACATGGGTTATAGCCTGTTTCCTTTTCAGATTTAAGTGACTCCTTAAAACCCCTTGCACAGAAGACACCTGTCTCCTCGTAGGTGCAGCACAAGCAGTGAAAGCAGAGACGCTGAGTCCCAGCAGTGGCTCGAGTGCCACGACGCTTGGTAAAAGCAGCAGGCCTTTATCAGAAAGACCTGCCAGAAGCAGAACCACCCATTCCTCTCAGTCCACGTCTGCAGGAAACGTGATAATTTTGATATATTTTTTAAACAAAATATAAATAAGGATACTGGACTTGCCAGCTTGTTATTTCACGACAGCCCTGCCACAAGGGCGCTGGCTGCAATCGTGTCCCTGCTAACCGCGGCAGTGAAGACTGGGGAAGGAGAACGATTGCACTCACCCTAAATCGGTTCTTGCTTTTTATTTTGGAACGACACACATGAAATCCCATTTAGAGCCAGGCAAGACAAAGACATGTAAAGCAGGAATAGGCTGCATTCTCCATTTAAAGCTTTGCTCTGCTCCCTAGGAGCATCTGACTGCAGGTGTTTGAAACCACCTCTTTGGTTTTGGTTGGTGTTTTGGATTCCTGTCCATGGCCAGTGGTAACCAAGCACATGAGAAGAATCCCTGCCTTCCCCACCGCACTCTGCCCAACACAGGAGTTCACCCAAAGCCCAGCACTGGGCACTCGATCAGGAAAGGCTTCTGCTTTCAGGAAACCGGTTACTTCCCCAAAGCTGCCCCAGTAACAAGTTAATGAACGAAGAACACCCTAAGGAGAACAGAGACAAGCGGGAGTTTGGTGCGGTGAGGAGGCTGGGGAGGATGCACAGCACACCAGTCCCTCCCAGTGCTGCCAAGAACCCTCACCAGAGCTGGAGCTGGGAGTTGGGCTGTCCTGTGTCCTGGAACTCCACCCTGAGATCCTCCTGTGTGCTCTGCATCCCCTCCGGGATGACTGCCAGCAGCTTCTTTCTTCAGGTCTTCCCACAGAGCAGGACACAAGCCCTTCTCCAGGGGACACCTTCCCAGGTGGGGATGGATGGCTGCAGACCAGGACTCCAGCAGCTTGGAGAAGGCAGCTGGGCCCACCAGGTTCTGGGGAGAGCTGGCTGGTTCGAAGCTCTGTTTGGTTCTTCTCCAGCTTCCTGGTGGTGGCTCAGCCCAGGGGTGCTCACAGCCCACAAAGGATGGCCCCTTCCCTCCCTCTCCTGCCTGGCTGGGCTCCACACAGCCAGCTGGCAGCACGGGGACTCCCAGCTCTCAGCAGTTCATACAAAGCAGGTGTCCTCCAAGCCATCTTCTCTCCGCAGGAAGCCTAGTTCTTGCTCCAGTGGCACAAAGCCCAGTGCCACCAGGGCTTTACAAGACTGCTGTCCCCTTCAGACTGACAGCTCCTCAACTGCAGGGTGTCTGCTGCCTGTAAAGGGGGAAACAGCACAGAAACAGCACACGTTGGGACCTGGCTAGCAAAGGATCAACGTTCAAACATCCACATTACAGCAGGACTCAGGGAGAAGTCTAACAGACAAGGGCAAGATTTGACCTGAGTGAGGGAGCGGAACATCTGCCAAGGAGGAGGAAACAACAAAGAGCAGCAAAATCCAGCAAGCCCGGAGAGCAGGCAGAGCATTTCAGCAGAGACCCTGGAGCACCAGTGTCAGTGTTTCCAGACCTGACTGGCAACCAGGCAGGATTAAAGCTCCACTTACAAAATTACAAGGCTAATAGATGTTACGAGCACGTTACCAGGTGTCCTGACTTGCTGGAAGCACATCCCAGAAGACAGCAGAAGCAATTACAAGCACTGTGTGCACCATCCAGCTGCATCAACCACCCGTAGGCGCTACTCAGCGAGCCTTTATCAATGTGCGCTTAGCACAAAGGAGGATCTGATGCATCCACACCATGGCACACGTCCTTTGAGACAGCCTTGCTTGCTGCCAGAGTTCATCTTAAACACAGCCATTGAAAAGAGGAAAAAAAGAAAAGAGAAAAGAAAAAGAAAAAAAAAAAAAAAAAAGAAAGCAGCTAGAACCAAACTGTACAGTGTTTATAACATAGGTGTATTGTTTATCATAAAGTAGAGATAACCTGCTGAAGTGTCAGGAAGACAGAAAAGAAAACCATTTAGGTAAGCAGTGGAAGTCCACATGGCATGACTCTTGTGCTGACCTTCAGCAAAAAATCAACCATCTTGGGAGGGCCAGAAACAGAAGTGGGAAACTAAAACATGGATGGGCTGAAAGGTTTCGTCCTAATACACACCTAGAATGGGGGAACTGCTGCATCGTTCTTCTTGGGACAGGGCTGGTGAGATCTCCTGCCCACGTTGGACCATCTAGAAGGGACAGAAACCTAAGCAGCAGCAGGGGGTTCGTGCATCACCTTCGCTTCCCAACCTTGGCCTAAGACAAAGCCTGTAAAGCTTCTGAAGGAAGACGAAGTGATCAGCCCAGAGCTGGGCAACACATAAAACAGCACCACAACCAAGCACCTGTGAGCAGGATAGGTAGTAAAAAGCCAAATGAGTCCAAACCCACAAGGAGATGACGGCATTTTCCAGCATCTTGCAACACCGCCTTCAGGGTGGGGATGAGCAACCCGTGTCCATGCCTTGTTGCACTGCAGTCACTCACACCGTAGGCTCTGTGCAGGGCACCACGATTTGGACAAGACAGAAGGCACCTCTTCATTTTAACAGGCTGTCTGAAAAGGGTTCGAAAAGCAACTCTCTGGAGAGAATTCCCCGCCACAGACAGCTTCAGCACACTCCACCCAGCCCACATGAAAGGTGAGAGGGAGGGACAGGCCAAGAATCTGACTGCTACAGGCTCCAGCTCTGGGTTTGTGTAGGAGAAAGAAACACCACCAATGTTCTTGTCCCCACTAAAAGACTTGTGGTCTTCTGTGTTTTCAGCATTGTCTTTGCAACATTAAATAGCCGGTGGGTACGTTGGCATGTGTGCTTCAGGAAAAGTCACAACAGCCCTTTGCTCCTCCTCGTGTCATGTTTTATCAAAATCCAGACTGAGAAATAAAGCACTCCATCCCTGCGCTGCCGCTTCAATCAGTCCATGAGTGCACGAAACATGGCTTTTGAAGCCACATTTCCCCGTCCTTTCTCAGGCTACTCCTCCTCTGGAGACACAAAGCAGAATCTGTCTCATCCCCTCTGCAGAAGCCGAGATCAAACGGCAGCTTTACCACATCACAAGTTACAATTAAGGCTACTCCTGGCAAAAGATGATTCCCTCGCCAAATGCTAAAGCTCTCCTGGCATTTCTCTTCCTATTGTCTGTATCCAGCCCTGTATTTATGAGATTAGCCTCAAATTAGGACAGTTTCCTCATTCTTCCTTCACTCTTACTGCAGCCTGGTTCCTGGGAATTTGATCCTATCTTCCACAGAGGTTACTCCCTGATGATAGGAAACATCTAGTGTATGTAGGCAGGAAGCACCAACAGAGGATTACAACGAGGGCTCTCTCCTAATCCTCGTTACGACATCTCCACGGATCAGGAACCCCACTTGAGCAACAGGAACATCAGGGACCTGTCTCGCCCCTGCGCTCCCACACAGCGTCTCGCCCCACCGTGGCCTGGCTGAAAGCAGCACACGGGGGCTGCGAGGGCACAACTAGCTGCCCCGACCCTCCCAGCTCCTTCCCCAGCACCCAGCTCTCAGCCAGAAGCATGGTACTTACGTGACGGGAGAGGGCAGATCAAACAAATCAAGTGCTCTGGGAACCGGTGCCTTGCCCCAGCATTACTCAGAGGAGACGAGAGGCAGGTTTAGTGACGAGAGAGATGGCTTTCCATCACCTAAACTGTTCATTTCAGCAGCTGACGCTGATAAAGAACAAGATGCTCAGTGTGTCTGCTGAAGGAAAGCCCCTCTCCCTGCTTTGGGTATGCTACAGGACATTGCCCACCTGCTGCAGTATCCCTTTGAGAACAGATGTACAATATCCTCAGCAGTTTTTCTCCTCCAGCCATGCACTTCATCTTTCTTCTCCGAACAGAAGAGGCAGAAGAAGAGGAGGAACAGCATTGCCAGCCCCCATAAAACCTCCTCACACACACACACAGTCACAGTGGGTTAGGTGTAGGTTATTACAGGGCAGTATCTCCATGGAAGAGCAGAGGAACCAGAGCCACTAAGCCTAGCTGGATCGAGCTACATCGTGCCTCATCTCCAACAGCAGCATCTAAGGAAGGATGTAAGAACAGGGTGAGAGCATAGCCATGTTCCATTACAAATGCTTTCCCAGGATCCAGCTATTTGCAGCTCCAGGACCTTCTCAACCAGAGACTGTGTAGTGGTATTTAACAGCCCTCAATGGATTTTTCTTGCATTAGTTGCTCCAGTTTCCCCCAAACCTGCATAAACTTTGTTCACCACAGATCTACTCAGTGCATTTGAACTGTTTGTGATCTTTTTTTTCCTGGGAGCTGATTTTTAGTTGTTTTGTTTTTCAAACAAAAACACAAACACAGCACCAAGCCTTGTTCCTCTAGCCCAGTTCATTGAACTTCTGCGATCTGTCACCCACGTGACACCGTCCTGTTTTGAGCCCCCTGCACTGAATTACGATGAATTACTGATTACAACGGCTCCCTCTCCCTCCTGGATTGCTTTGCTTTTCTCAGCATCTTATTGCACAACCCCACTACTCTCAATTACAAGGACTTTCTACAGCTATTCACCATAGCTTTTGTTTTTTGCTGCTCTGAATAGCGAGCAGCAGACTTCATCTGCCATTTACTCCTATTTATCATTAACAGACCCATTCAGCAGCTCCGACCTTTGACAGCCCCTTGTCACAGTTGACTAATGTCAATTCCCTATCGGGAAAGCTGGCCCTTCACCTTTCGATCTTCATTTCCCATCTTTCAGCTTATTATTTACCCATTAGAGACCGCCATGAGATATCTCAAAACCCCGAGAGCACAACAGGACCTCCAGCTCCCCAGGGTCCTGCCACCCATGGAGAATTTTCCTACCTGCTCTCCCACTCAACTCCTCAGCTCACTGGCCTCAACAACATCCCTCAAGAAGGGTCCCAGCCGTGGGCACCTTGCCTCAGAGGGAAGCAGAGCTGCACCCCAGGCACAGCGTCGTCATAGCATTTAAGTACAGCCTGATACAACATGAAGGCAGCAGCCAGGCACCACCAAGACTGAAGACTCTAGTCCTCAATACAACAAAGGTGAGCAGAGCGCAGCCTTTTTCCCCCAAAGACAATTTGCCATCCTGCCACCCACAACCCCCTCCGTCGTCCCTGTGGAGTTCAGCCTTCACTTCCCAGTCTCATCACACTTTTGTGAAGCGTCCTTCACACTCCTCCACCCCAGAGCTACCCAGATTTCAGCACCCAGAAAACAAGCCCCAGGAAAAGTACCTTCCTCTTCTTTCACAAGGAGCGGCCGATTGCTTCAGATAATGATATTAAAGTGAACAAGTGGGACACTGAGAAGCAAGATCAGTTCCCACAAAGACTGGGTAGTAATGAGAGTGGTTAAAGACAAGTAATGAGTGGGTGGTATTTGTCAGCTTCATAATGTAGATTATAATTTGTTTATTACTCTTGCTACTGCTTTCGCTGCTGTTGGAATGCAATTAAATAATAGCACCTATGAGTCCTGCAAGTATCTGTCATCCCTGACCTACAAATATCTCCATGCCTCACGCAGAGTTGCATTGGACGTTTAATGGCATTGCACGGCCAACAGAAAGCATCTCAGCCTTCAGGAAGAAAAGTGAAGACCTCCCAAAGCAAAACCAAAGGCACCTCCACAAAGGAACAGGCTTAAAGAATCTTTGGTCGTTCAAGACAACTAACCATCATCTAGTTTCGTCCATAGTTATTTCAGGAGAGCAACATCTGGGAATTATTCCAGACTGCCAGAGTTCAGAGCTTGATTTTTGACACTAAGGCAGGGAAAATGTTCCTGTGTGCACCTTCATCTCTTGGTGGCCCACCACCACTTTTGAGGTAAGGCAGCCACACCCCAGCCCATCACCAGGCCTCAGCGTTCCCAGTTTAAATCACTGAGACTTTTAATCAGGCTCAGGGTGGTGACTGACCTTGTTAGCCGAAGGCTGGCAGCAGCACCAAGAGCTTTCCTCACACACTATGTACGATCACGGAGTGCTCTCCACAAGACAGACACGTCTCTGCTGAGAGGGTCCGTCCTCTCCCTTCGTCTGAGACGGGCCCAGCAAGTCTGGTCTAGGGGATGAGGCTGCAGGCACTGGACTGAAACTGCTGCTCTAGGAGAAGCATGCAGGGGCAAATAGATGGGGCTTTCCTGGCTGCTGTTGCTTCCCATCATATTGCCTGAGAACTGCAGCACTGATTCTGTATCAGGCAGTGCACACCGGCAGACAGCAGCTTCAAACAGGACCAGATTTGTTTTATATTAAAAAAAAAATGAGATTTGTAAATCTACATGGGCACACATGCACTTCTCTCCACTTCTACGGGATTTAAAACTAGACAGGGAATTTCTCTGGACCAGCCTCAGCAGCTGGCAACACAGGAAAGGAACTAACTGGTTGCTTTCTGCATTTTCAGGCAGTTTTTGTGCAGTTCAGCCCCTTACTTGGACCCTCATTAGCCCGGCATCCCTCAACACCATGTTGTGCTGCAGGACTCAGTAGTCAGAGGCAGACAGGGTCAGTGGAGAACTGCTGCTTTGCTAACTTTCAATAACAACCCTCTGGCCCCTCCCCAAAACACTTAAGTCCTTCCCTTTGCGAAGGAAAACATGCTGCAGGGACATAAATAAAAGCCAGTGGCAAATTTCAGCACTGAACTGCGCTATCAGTGCATGTTTGGGCACAAGCTAGCGACCACTGAAGTCAGCAGAAGTTTGGAAAGACAAAACACCTCCCACACAAAGGAGAGACAGAGGCAGCAGTCAGAGCTGCGAGGCAGATAAGCTGCCTGTCAGAACAGGCTTGGACTGTCCTAGCAGGAAGAAGAAGTCCAATGAGAGGGAAAGCTATTTGGGGAATGAATGAATAGTGAAGCTTCTTGTTGAAGCTTTGAAAAAAAAAAAAAAAAAAACACACACACACAAACAAACAACAACAAAAAAACCTTTCCCAAATATCTCTCAGCTTTCTGCCAAATGGATGCAGGGCCAAGACATGCAGGAGCCTGCGTGAACCTCTAGCACAGGATCACTTGAAGACAACAGCCTGGATGGGGGCAGAAGGAAGGTGATGAATGGCAGAGAGGATACAGACAGAGCTGATCCCTGCTCTGTGGGAGGAGAGGGCAGCTTTCTCTGGGCACAGCACCCAGAAACCCTTCAAACTCACATCCAGTATCCTGCTTTGAACACCTTCAAGAGGATCCTACCTGGTCTCTTAGGGGGTCCAACCCCGCACAGTCTGATGCCTGCTCCAAACAGTCTGGAGTCAATCCTCCCGGCCATTTTAGAGCAAGAACCAAACTGCATCACTGGAACAGGGAAATAAAATGATGGGTGTAATTTAGAACTACATTTGTGGAAGGAAGGGGGGTGGGTGGAGGGAGGGTTCTTATCCCAGACCCACAGTCACACACCCCCCACAGACACACATTTCAATTCAAAATCTCCCATACAAAAAAAAAAAAGCAGTGTTGCTAGGATGTCACATCCACAACCAAACCTCAGAGCTCAGCTCCTTGCTAGCACAGGGCTTTCACTAATGCCGTATCAGTGACCAGTGTCTCACCAATACACCCATCTGGTCCCTCACACTTTGTGCAGGGTTTATCATAACTCACCTCTCAGGAGAAAAAAAAAAAAAAAAAAAAAAAAGAAAAAACACATGGGAAAACCACCAGCCAAACTCGAGCTGCAGAGGAAGGGATAAGGAAGGGACTAAGAAGAAAAAAATAATACAAGCAAAACTCTGAATTACAAAGAATCTACCCTTGAGGCAATGATAGAAGATGAGAAGAGCAGAGTGCCTGAATGCAGAGATTTTCATTGCTACCAAAAAGCAGTGAGAAACCCAGCAAATGACTTTACATAAGACAGATATTTCTCCAGGGAAAGAAAGCAGGAAAATAAATAAATCTGTCTGGATTCCCCTTCTTCCACTCGCACTTGGTTCCCTTACAGGCTATCGGATTCCTTGTGCCACGGAGCAACACTGACCATCTCTGCTGATCTCTGTAGCGCATTTGGCCTCCATTTCCAGCAGGCCCCAATGTTTAAGAGAAAGCCAGGACTCCAGCCTCCTGCTGGAGGACCCCAGCTTCACAGGAGCAGCTGCCAGGTGAGAATACCTCAAGTCCCAGCTGTCTGAAGCAATAAAAAGCGGCGGAGAAGACAGGGAAGCAAATGAGGATGATGCAAAATGAGTGCAGTTTCAGCTATGAGCACCAACAACCAGAGCAGAACAGAAAGAAAGGGCAGGGAGCATTGGTGATCTCGCCTTGCACCATGTGCAGAAAGGGGGCTACACCACACGGGTCTGGGGGAGCCCACACAGCCCAGCAGCATCAGCAGTCTGGAGCTGTGCAGCCAGCCTGACTGTCTGCACCTGCCACATGATTAATTCCCAACCCATAATTAATCCCCAACCCTTGACTGCGCCATCAAAGCCCAACCACAGCTTCCGTCCTGACCCGGCTCCCAGCCCAGCACTACTGCTGGGACACAGCCAACCGGGGGAGCGTGGAGGTGGCAGGAATGCGCCCACAGGTGCCACAAACTCACCCGGATCCACTGGAAGCAGCTCCTCGTCTCCAACCGCTCGTGCCAGCGCCATCGTGGGCTGATTACGGCTGCGCCAAGGGCTGCCGCCAACCCCACAGGCAGAGGCACTCTGTAGCCACCAGCCCCTGAGAAATGATTTCTGGATGGACATGTTTCTCCCACACCTCCTTCACAAGATGCAGCTGCGTTTTTGTAGCCGCCACAGTGGCCACCAGCAAGCCTGCCAGGCCTTCCCAGGCCACCAGCCAGCCCGGGTTCCCCTACGTGCTACCTGAGGCAGTGAAACCACCAAGGGTATCAGTGCAGCTCCTGAGGTGTTTTGGAGAGGGAAGGGGTGAAAGCAGAGCCAAAACCAGATTATTAAAAGGAGGTAGTGGCTACGGAGGCAATTCCCCCATGCTCCAAGCCCTCCCAGTCCAGGAAGAGGCCCTTGTCCCACCACCCTGGAGCTGCAGCAGCTGGCAGCCATGACAGGAGGGGTGGGCTGTGAAGGGGAAGCAACAAAAGCAAGAAAAAAAAAAAAAAAAAAAAGCCCCTTCCCGAGTCAAGGGAGCACCACCGCAGGGTCCAAGCCTGCATTGCACACCCTGCCGTGGTGCCATGGGGGCTTAAGGCCAGGAAACACAGCCTCAGGCATATTTGCTGCTTGGTCACAGTGCTGGCCAAGCTGTATGTGCTTGGCCCACCCCAACAGGGCGGCCCCCAGCAGCTCCTGCCTGCCTGAGCCTCCTGGGTGCAACCCAACCACCAGCACACAGCATGAATGTCTCTCACAAGTGCTGCTTTTCCAGCAGCTGCCAGTAGAAGACCATCAGCTTCAACATCTTTTCTGAGCAAAGTCCCACCTTCTGATCCACAACCTCCCTTCCTGCCCTGCAATGGTCTTAGTCTCCGTTAAAGTCCTCAACAGGAGACCTCATCTTTGCTGAGGAATCTTCTGGGCAGCGTCCCCCCACAACCATTGGTGCTGCAAACTATCTCCAGCTGTTTCCACCCTCAGACAGCCCACAGCCAGCCAAGTTTGCTTCAGGCAAGCCGTGTCCTCTCCACGAGGGTCAACCCACCAGAAGCAGCATGGAGGAGCAGGCAGGAACCTCCCACCAGAACAGGATGGCTCCAGCAGGCTGGGGAGGGAAAGCCATCAGCAACAGATGGACCAAAGGGGCAGGAAAATCCTCACACACCGAGCAAGTCAAATGAGGCAACAAGAGAGGAATTTTGCAGCTTGAACAGAGGAACTCAAGGGAAGGACAAACAGGCATGGAGGGCAGATCCAACTCTTCCCTACTTCTGGACATTTCACTATTGGCCCTCTTATCCCAAATTATATTTAATCAACCCAGCACTCAGACTTCAAGCATGATGAAAAGAAAGATCTGAGGAAGCACAGGAGCAAATGGCTTGAAATCAGGGGAAAGAAAAAAACAAACAAAAAAAAAACTTTCACACACTTTCTGAGCAGCCCAGACCATGACCATCACAGCCTGTGCCAGTCAGCTGGCAGGGTAAATACAGGGATGTGGTGATTAGCTGAACTATTTACATGCTCTTGCAACACTGCAAATAGCCTGATTTGATCATACTAAGGTTTAAAAAAAAAAAAAAGCCACAGTAACCAGGCTACCTTGAAAATATGAGCACCCACATTCAGATGATGGCAGGAAGAGTCTGCTTTCCCACGTGGATCTCTGGGTGACATAACAGGAGGCAAGTTCAGAAATGTGGAGTTAGACTTGCATCATGCCCTAAGTGCGTTTGATGCCACACCAAGAAAGAACTGCCTAAGAGAGGGGTACGAGTAGACACAAAAGGAAGAAAACTACAGTTAACCCCAAATCCCCTTTCTCCAAGCTCATGTCCTGCTTGCTGAGCTCCTGGTGCTGTCACCAGCCCTTCTGTGGTTGTTTGGGGGCACATCTTCCCCTGCCTATGCTCTGTCAGTGTCTATGACCATAGATAATCCTCACTACACTGCTTGGGGAACCTGCCTTTTAAAAAATACATATAAAAAAAATAAAAAAAGAATCCTCTCCCATTTCAGAAGATGCCAAACAGTTATCCTTGCACTCAGTATGTACCTGCTTTCCTTGCCCTTCTCTCTCTGGCTGGGGTGAGCAGCCAGCATCTGCCAAGCAGCACTGAAGGAGACAGGCTAGAATATGATGCACAACCTTTAGGTAACTACAGAAGTTCAGAGCTTTGGGTTTCTTCCCTGACTTGAAGCAGAGGGAGAAATTTTGTAAGCATCAACCTGTGGTCCCTGTAGCTGTTCAAGAGAAATAAGTAAGACAAAGTGATGCATGAGGGAAAAAAAAAACCTCACATTTCCTAATGGCTCATGCCATCACACATGACGACCCAGAGACAGCAGATCTAGCAGCCAGAGAAGGAGATTATCTGGTTTTGTAGAGCAGAGTACCAGAAAGCATCTCAAAATCAGCTTGTCTGAATCAATGGGTTAACCAAGGAGCTTCTCCCTGCTGTGTGTGGGAAGCTTTAACTCCTTGCCAAATTCCACCAATCTGAACATAACCAGCTTTCTCACTCAGCCTGTGCTCCTACGCTCAGCTAACGCTCGTGCCCGCCTCTGCAAGGGAGTGTAGACAGACCCCACACTCTTTTCTCCTGTAAAGATTTCTCCAGCATTGACCCTTTCCTGATGTCAGTTGTCTCCCCACCGAATTATTCTGACAGTACAGGACTTGGTTCTCTAAAGATCCTAAGGATCCCCCCCCCCAAAAAAAAAAAGCCAAGAAGCTCAGTGGAAAGACATTTGTAAAACAATAATGGCTGAGGACCAGCCGGGCTGGCTGCTCCCTGCTGTTGAGGCCGGAAGGCTTGGAAAATGCTCTTTTGGGCCCTGTAGGAAAGAGAACTTGCAGATGGCAAATGCTTTTCAGACAAGCCTTCTCCTTCCTTTGGCAACAAGGCTTTTAAGTGGAGCAGTGGTGGGATACAACAGACTTGCACCTCCCAGGATGAGGTGCTATGCAAGAGCTGCCTGCACACCAGCTCTTCTACCAAGGCCATTGCAAATAGTAGCTGTGCAGTTCCAGCCAGCCACAGCTCAGCTACTGCTCAAACATGCTCACAGAGCTAGTGCTAGCTGCTAATACCCTATTCCACACCTTAGCAGAAAATTGTAAAAGGAAATTAAGAGGGAAGCAAATATAGCCATATACCCAACAAGCTGTTCCACACCTCTTCAGTGCACAACCAGCTTCCAGTGTTCCTTCATACCCTCCTCAAAAGCTACTCTACCATGTAATTACAGAAGAAAACCTAAAGGTCTTCTTTTCCCCACATAGCACAGCGATTTTTCATTTGTTGAGCCACAAACAGGCCTCTAAAATCAATATATAGATTCTCATCATGCAGTAGAGGAGTAAACAACCCAACTTTCACTCACCCACACACACCTTTGGCTCCTGCTTCAGCCTTTGACCATCTGCCCTGCTCTGCAATGGACCCCCCTGCACCTGCCAGCCTGAGCTCCTTGTGCAATGTTTGGGGCTCAGGCCCTAGGGTTAGGAGGTGTTGAATAGATAGTAATTTAATTAGATAAGATAGATAAGAACAAGGAATGCTGGAGGGGAAAAAAAAAAGATGGTTGTCCCCCCACCCCACCCCCAGGTGGGAGAGGGGACACCATCCAGCTTCACATCCAGCACCAGGCAGAGCACAGCTTGCCTGCCCGTTTCCAGATGAGTTGCAAGGTGCTGATAACCTTTCCTAGCTGTCCTTAACAATGCAGTTGCACCAGCACCAAGGAAAAACCAAGTGCCCTGATCACTGGCAGGGCCTGCTCAGTCCTGCCCTGCTGCCAACAAAGCTGTGAGACCCAGAAATCACCAGGCAGCTGCCCACAAGGCTACAACTTCTTGCTTTCCTACCAAAAGAAAATCTGCTATCACACCAGTTGTGGGCAAGGCTTTGCTGTGCCTTCACAGGCCACACTTAAACAGCAAACAAAAGTGTCTTTAGTTTATCTATTTATTTTTGGCACAGAGGAATGGCTGGGGTCAAAGCCGGTCCCTTTCTCAAGCTGTTCTTTGTTCTCTGGTTTATCCAATACCCCATCCCTCTCCTTGCCCTCCTACTTCCCCCTCTCCATTTTACCACAGGTCTTAAAAATTAAATTGCGCACGAAACCAAACACCGCACTTGAACACTGCCCAGCAAATGCTCCTCGTGGTCACAGAAGAATACTAATCGACCATAAAAAAATGGATAAGAGAACAGCATGCCCTTATATGGGCAGAGGCTAGACAAGCATCTGACACAAACATCGTTTTTAAAGAAAAAATAATATTTATTTGCAATATAAACAAA